AGCAGTAGTATGAGTCATGGGGTGGATAACTGATCAAGAGCTCCAATCAGAGCTGATCTGATCGATGGATGAGAGGAGCAGCTGCTGCAGAGGCGAGTGAAAGCAAGGGAAGTAATAAAGCAACTCAGGACATAAAATAAGCACAGCAGAAATGTCAGACAGGATGAACCATGGTGTTAAACTATATATCTTAAAATGTTTCAGTCATGGCTGAAAATAACAGAAATAAACAGGTTTGCTGAATTCACATATCACTGCAATTCACAACAGTTTGCAGTTTCTACCTGGAAGGTTTATATCAAGGTCACGGTGATTCAGTCTGCGAAGTTGCATCAATATCCATGTAAGCATATGATGTCATCTGGAGACTTTAAGTGACTTTTTGGAGCAAGTGCTAGCTACTTTCATTGGAAAAGAGTTGGCAGCTCTGCCCTACGAAAAAAGTTATACTGATGGATTATGTGTGAAAGGTTTGATTTTATTTCCTGAATGTTACACTTATGGACTATCTGTGTAAACTGCCCATCAAGATATTGAAGGGGAATTAATGTTTTTTGCAACCTGGGCCCTATTTTCCGATCTACTTTTGTCTAAATGAGTGATAGGATGTTCAATATTTGATATTTCTCCAGTTCGAAGCTAGGGCTGACCTGCCTGCAGCCCGTGAGTGCGCGCTATATTAAATAATAGGGCACTCAGACAGCATCAAACAACGTCGAAATACGTCCACTAAAAGTGCATTTTTTGCATTGAAACTGAAGAGTGGACGAGGAGAGAGAGGGAGCAGCAGAGCACATATACTAAAATTGCAACAGGCAGAGGAACATGTCCGAATCCAGCTAAAGGTAAACTGTGCGTTCATTTCTTCTTTCCGTTATGTTGTTGGATAATTATACTAACAATCCGAGCCTATCTGTGTAAAAAAAAAAGCACTTTAATGGACGTATTTTGACGTTGTTTGACGCTGTCTGAGTGCCCTATTATTTAATATAGCGCATGCTCACGGGCTGCAGGCAGGTCTGCCCTAGCTTTGTACTGGAGAAATACCAAATATTGAACATCCTATCACTCATTTAGACAAAAGTAGATCGGAAAATAGGGCCCAGGTTGCAAAAAACATTAGTTCCCCTTTAAAGGCTGGATGTAACCATTCTGATGTTACACTTATGGATTCCCTGTGTAAACTGTCTACTAATATTAAGTGATCTTAATTTTGTGTTATTATGTACATGGTCTGTACAGGAGCCAAATATGTTATTGGGAGGTTTGCTTCTAACTGTGTAATTGACTGTGTGGGCATTGGGGGGCGCTGTACTGTCACCTGGTGAGTTCATGTATTTTAGGATGTGACCTCACTATGGTCATCAGGTGTTTGGCCCTGAAGGGCAAATGGTTTTTGATCGCAATGGCACGGACCGCTACAGTTTTGTTTGTATTGTACTGAGCGTCACATGTGTATGTAACGGATGGACTTTGCCATGCACACGTGGAATAAATGTTACGGTGATGCAACGCAAGAAGCCTCAGGGACTCTCATTCAACATTTGAGTAACGGAGGTAGCGTAGCATGTCCAGCAACAGGCGCGTCAACCCTGGTCAAATACCTCAGTGGCTAGTAATAGACTTAGCTCCTTTAACAGTCTGTGTGCATTTTTCTCTTTTTCCATCCTTGTAATATTTTACTGGGTTAACTAATGGATTAGGGTATATACTGGAAAGTGCCTCGATAAAGCCACTCCAAGGATGTTTTGCATCTCTTCATCATGTTTCTGTAGCTCATGTTGCCTACTACTTTTTTTCTCTCTTTTTTTGCATGTGAAATCAAATGAACTAAACTAAAATTCAACGGGAACACTTCAATAATAGTCATTCTTTCGAATAAGTGTATTTTAATCATTTATCCTCCTGAGTGTGTGTTTTTGAGTAAGCCCTGAATTCCGAGTCACACTTCTGGACTTTTATTTTGAAGCTCATTAACTCATTTACCCCGGAAGCTGTACTCTTTACTGTTGCGAACGTCACACTGTTTGAACAAGATGGCGTCTGATGGAAACGTGTGTTAGCAGAGTCTGTTTGTTGTGTTTTTAAAGTGTGAACATGTCTAAAGTCCAAATGCTGAGAGCGTAGGTGAAGCAGCGACTAACTGCGGCTGCTGAAGAGATATTTGGGCTGGTTGAAAGAACGATAGCAGAGTACGAGGAGGAACTTTGTCGATCAAAAGAGGAGAA